GGAGCTCTTCTTGACCAGTCTAACCGTCGCCCACTGCCTCGCCGAGCATGACCCTGGACCCATATGTTTACTTCACCGACACTGGCTAACTTATTTGACAGTGACATCTACCGAGTCGACGAAGTGCTAGCGTGAGTTCATCTCTCTGAATCGTCTGCCGGTGGCTTTCTAACATGTGCCTCTAGCCGAACTTTCAACATGCTCTTCGTCAATTCCGCCCGAGGTATGCAGCCACCCCACACTTAACCCGTTCTGTGTAACACTTGACTGACTGACTGATGCAGCCGGCTTCACCCTTGTCGTCATTTCGTGGTCAACCCCGGCCTTCGTTGCGCTTATCCTGCCGCTCGGCGCACTCTACCTTTACATCCAGCGATATTACCTGCGCACATCACGGGAACTCAAGCGCCTCGACAGCGTTAGCCGCAGCCCAATCTATGCCCATTTCCAGGAGAGTCTCAGCGGCATGAGCACAATCCGCGCGTACAACCAGCAGAAGCGTTTCGAAATGGAGAATGAGTGGCGTGTCGATGCCAATCTGCGTGCATACTACCCTTCCATTAGCGCCAACCGATGGTTGGCTGTTCGCCTAGAATTCCTTGGCTCAGTCATCATCTTGGCTGCTGCGGGTCTTGCCATTGTGTCCGTCGCTAGCCACAGCGGCTTAACGGCTGGTACTGTGGGTCTGGCCATGTCGTATGCGCTTCAGATCACTCAAAGTCTCAACTGGATCGTTCGCCAAACTGTCGAAGTGGAGACTAACATCGTTTCTGTGGAACGTGTGCTTGAGTATGCCGCGCTACCCAGCGAGGCGCCTGAGATCATTTCCAAGAACAGACCACCAATCAGCTGGCCGTCCCAGGGCGCTGTCACTTTCGACAACTACAGCACCCGATACCGGCCTGGTCTTGACTTGGTGCTGAAGAACGTCAACCTCTCCATCAAGCCAAAGGAGAAGATTGGTGTCGTTGGGCGAACAGGCGCCGGCAAGAGTTCACTTACGCTTGCACTTTTCCGCATCATCGAGCCTGCGGAGGGTAATGTAAGCATCGACAACCTCAACACCAGCACTATCGGTCTACTCGATCTCCGCAGGCGCTTGGCCATCATCCCACAAGATGCAGCGCTCTTCGAAGGTACCGTGCGCGACAACCTCGACCCAGGGCATGTTCACGACGACACCGAGCTCTGGAGTGTACTAGGTAAGTCTCCAAACCATCCCACTCAATATGCAACTAATCATTTCCATAGATCACGCCCGTCTCAAAGACCACATCTCCTCCATGCCGGGCAAACTCGACGCCACCATCAACGAAGGCGGCTCCAACCTCTCCTCCGGTCAACGTCAGCTCGTCTCGCTCGCGCGCGCCCTCCTCACTCCCTCCAACATCCTCGTCCTGGACGAAGCAACCGCCGCCGTCGACGTCGAAACCGACGCCATGCTGCAAACCACGCTCCGCACCAGCATGTTCAACAACCGCACTATCATCACTATCGCGCATCGCATCAACACCATTTTGGACTCAGACAGGATTATCGTGCTGGACAAGGGTGAGGTCAAAGAGTTTGATAGCCCGGCAGAGTTGGTCAGAAGGAAGGGTTTGTTTTATGAGCTGGTGAAGGAAGCGGGGCTGTTGAATGCCTTGGATATGAGTCAGTCGTAAGGGCAAGTGACTGATGAAGATAGAAGAGGTGTGTGGAAACAGTTGACACATCAGTTTCTCTAGAATCGTTCGCAAAATAGACACGTTGGAGTTGTAGCGTTTTCATAGCATGGCGAGGCGTTGTGGTGAGTGGAAAGCCTTCAGCGACAGTGGAGGTAGAGGGGAAAAGTAGTTTCGCGGTTTACTCGCGGGTGGTTGATGAAGTTCAAGTGGAAACGTGTATAAAATTTTAATACTGGGTCTAACGTGCATCTGCTTTTGATTTTCTTGCCTACGAGTCAACATGATAGAGTGGCAGTGACAAGGCATGGCCATCCATATGGTGATTTTCAGTGGACATGACTTCTCCATGGACATTTAACGACAGGTATCGCAATGCGTCACTACAGCCAAGAACAGCGAAGTGAACATATGACGTGAGAGACCCGGAATATATCACGGTCTACATGTTACAGCGCTATACCACCAAGTCTGGTCTCGGAGAGTAGTTGGAAGCAAAATCCGTTGGACGCGGCTACAGTAACCGCTCTCTGACCTCGGCGATCACAACCATATGATCCTCACTTGCTGAACCCATACACCGGGTTTTACCTTGCATCATATCCACGTCTTTGTATCAATAACCATCCAGTGTCAGCAGTCCAACGCTCGACCTTCGGAAGCAAACGTTTCACAACCCAGCCCCAAAACTTACACCCTCACCATCGCTGTGTACCTCAACCTAGCGGTGAACGCGCTGCAGCACCACCACTCCACGTTCCAGAAGCCCACGCATCCAGCCCGGCTCCAGTCCCGCTACCCCTGCGCCTTCGATATGAAACCACTCCTACTTTCCGGCGTTGCGTCACGCATTGACAGCCTCTGCACGTCCTCCCATCTAACTTCGTAACTCGACGCGAAGAACGGGCTCGAAGCGATGTCCACCCGTCCACAGTTTACCCCCTGCTTACACGAGGGACAGGAGGGAAACCTACGTTGCAGTGGTTGCAAGGTAAGCATATGTGACACGGCAGCCGTGGACGACTAAACGCGGTTCACCACCTTCCGCTTCTTGCGGGTGGCGCATATATGCCGGAGCCTGGCATTGCTAAGAAGAAGCGAGGAAGGAGGGGATTGGTGCATCTAACTGGGTGGGCAGTGCGGAAACGGAAGCTGGACGTGGGTGGTGCATGCAACGGGTGTAGACTTTGCATGCAGATAGTGTGCGTTTAGTTTAGCCCAGCGGGCCGTTGCCTTATTAGAACGTAGGTTGTGCAACGGGGTGACACGTTATCTCCGCTTTGCTAGTACTAGGGCGGTGTGGCGCTCGGGAGAGAGAGGGAAGCCTGGGTCTGGGTCCGAGTCTGGTTTGTCTGGTTTGGGGACGTCGATACGATTTGATCTGCTAGAGGTTGGCTTGTTTAGATCTGGCTGGCTGTCGGCGGCGGTGAGTTAGGTCAGTGGTGGAAAATTGGGGGTAGAACAGCAGGAGGGGAGTTGCATGTCGCGGCGATGTGCAGAAATTTGTTCAGCATTGTTCCAGTGCGCACGCAGTAGCGAGATGGACGTTTTGTCTAACTTGTTATGGGCGTTCTTACAGCCAGATCGATCAGATACTGAGTCAGACTGAACTCAATCTCACGCCAATAGCCTGGTAAGCGGATGAGCGGTGCGGGCCTGAGCGACATCGAAACGGGATCTGTGAAGGATTCCTTTGTACATCGTCTAGAACAGTCTGACCGTGGCGCTGAAGTGGATGAAGACTTTTGGGGTCGAAGACCCTTTGGCTGCTTGAGCGGCTATGTATCTTTGGTTCGGGGATGCGGGAAGGTTGTCTCTGGCCTCCACTGCCTCTCCGCCCCATGCGATGGCTGGCGGAAATGCGGTAAGCGAGGTTGGCGAGCGAGGACGATCCCGAGGATCAACGAAACCCACAGAACGGCGAGGTCTAGCCATCCTAGGTCTTCCGAAAAGCGCCATCGTCGAAGTATGTGCTAGCGTACTTCCTCACGTGGGATTTGTAAAGGTGGAAGGTGGGGTCAAGTCCTGACACGTCCACATCCAATATATACTCGGGTGTTGATTTCGGTATCTGCCACGGTGACGATGGCAGTGTGCAGGTGTTCGATGCCCAACAGATCTGCCATGGAACCACTCATCGGAGATTCGAGGCCTCCAGATACGATTTGCTGATTTGCATGATGGAATCCCACGGCACGACCCCGTGTCCGTTATGCAGCATGCTTTAGCGCTAGTGTGTATACATCCTTGTGGAGACATTGACCCCTGTTCGCGCCTAACACTCGTCATCTTTTCGGCATCGTGTCGACTGAGAGTGAAGGCAGGTGCGGACGGGGAAGCGGGAGTCATGCACAAGACGTCTCCGCAAGCCCAATTCAGATGCAAAGGCCTGATGAGGCCTCAATCCCTTAACACCTGCGGTAGCCCTCGAGTCGACATCCGCGGGGTGGCCAGATCATGCGATGTCTTCTCTCGTTTGCTGAAATGCCGGGGTGTTGTCGTCGCCAAGTGGATTCTCTGAGGTTACGTGCAGTAGATAGGAGTCGAACAGTGCAGGGCTCAGTTGTCATAGCAGAATAGGCCTGCTTTATAACCTGAGAGCCCGGTCAATACATTCGGTCCTATTGTTGCTGTCAGTATCACGTTCTTGTATTTGCATTTTATCCTTGAGACCGTGGCTCTTTTTGGGTTTGCATCATTGGCACACAATCTTCGGAAGACCGGTCAGGCTTGTGTGCCACCCTCCTCCGATTCCGCACCCAGCCTTTTTCGGCTAGCCACCTTATCCAAGTATCGTTGCTGTGGCTCGAAGCTCGTGACGAGCCCATTGCTGTTGGTTATAGCAGAGGCTTTTCGTTGGCATCCAAAGCAGCATCCAGCTCTGGCTTATCTCGGATCTGCAGCGGAAGAGGGGCATCTTGCGTTCGTCTAAAGACTGGGGTTCCTCTAGAACTTGCTCTTTTCAGGTAAGCACTGCCAGCGCAATAGGTTAAGCGAAGTGTGCGCACTCCAAAACTGTACTCGACTAGTCTATGTAGATGATCTTGGTCATTTCGTCAAGCAATACTGCCTCATTCGGTCGCTCCAGGGGCATGGCTCCTGTAGAGTATAAGATGCTAACTGACCGATGTGTAGCCTGTTCGTACTTTCGAGCTTTCCTCGGGCGCCATAAGACGGAAAAATACGCCCATACGACACAAAGGCGATCCATCGATCAGTTCGCGGGATTCGCTAGCTGCAGCTCCATAGCTACCGATGGCGATGTTCCGGGCCGTGGACCCATTGGCTCCTCACGCGAAGGACCGGCGACCAATACGGAAGGACGATGGCGGCGCCATGGCGGTAGACCGATTTGGGGAAAACGCGTGGGCGATAGTTCACGCTGGTGATGTGAAGGAGCAGTCGTCGGTGAGTACGGTTTCTTTTTGCGTTCGGGGGCACTGTAGATAAGGTTTCGGGTCCTCCCTCCACATGAGCCGCTGGCGCGACGATTAGCGGCCGCCTTGGCCCAAATAACCGGACCCGGCAGGCGCGTGGCATCATAGACGGCAATAGCGACGAGCACATATGCTGACTTCTCCAGGCAACATCCTCGCACGCTGTCGAAGCCACCGTCAAGAAGGACGAACCAGAGGAGCCCGTTGCCGTCCCTACACCTATCGGCTGCTGGAAGGTCATCTCGCCTGAGGGCCGAGAGGAACACGTCTTTAGGCCCATCCCTGGCTTCGAACACCTGTGCAACGGCCCAGCAAAGTCGCAGGGAGTGACCCGTCTGGCAGATCCGCCTAAAGCCGTTCCCACGCCCGTCTACCAGTCTGCCGTGGTCCAGGTACCGGGTAAGATCGAATGCCTGCTCTGTATGCGCCCCCGCTAACAGGCCCAGCTACGTCGGGAGATGTTCAACCCAAGAGCCGGAAGAGAGCTCGGTCGCACGCAGGGGAACCGCGTCAAGGCGCAGCTCAGCACTTCAGCGAAGACGGAGACGACGAGCAGTACGACGACAGAGATGTCCCTGTTGCAACACAGAAGTCTTACACCTTCTACATTGGCGATGTCAAACCGTTGATGGGCTTCTTCCACCGAAGACTCGATGAGCTCACTATGAAGCCAGTGCGGCCCATCGTCACGGCTTGGGTCAAGCAACTGGAGCCTAAGCGTCTCAGCCTGTACGGGCCCTACCACAAGAAGCTGCCTAGGGAGCAGCCCTCTGAATGCACCCCACCTTGGTGGCCCCACGATGTGCCCTACGAAGAGCCTTCGCATTTGGACAAGGCGGGTAAGCTATCACATCTACCTATGAGAGTGAGCGACAGCTGATTCTCCCCAGGCCTTTTGAAACTTGCAGTCGATCTCATGCTTCAGCACCGCAAAATCGACGAGGCCAAACGTAGAAGTCCATGGGTTGCCAAGCTCAAACATGCCGCGCAGTATGCCGTTGAGACTACTCCGCCAGACCAGTTCTCCTCGTCGAAAGGATCCAGATTCAGTGAGCGGATGCAAGGCCGAGCCCTATCCGAGATTCTACCGAACCTCTTCGACATTGCGCAATTATACGAAGATCACATCTTCAACTACAACCTCTTCGAAGGCACAAACAACCAGGATCCCCGTAGAGGGACGCATGTGACTTGGCAGCCATTGACGAGACCGCCACGCCAGCAACCCGTACCTAGGAAGCGCTTCCGACGGGCCAGGGCTACTCCGCCTCCGAGAATAGAGCCTGACGCCGATGTATCTGGCAACGAGACTGAGGTTGACAACACCGCGACTGAGTCGCACCTGTCACGGGAGGAGAAAGCTCGCCGACCTCAGACATCCCAACAGCAAGCGCAAGCCCCCATTCGAGGACCGGCAATATCGCAACCACAACACATGCATCCATGCAGCTCCACTACAACGCCCAACACCTCTTTTGGTCAGTCGATGCACTCTCTTCATCTAGATGAGGACATGGACCTAGACGTCAAGGTGGCCAACCGCACCCCGTTTCACAACCAGACCCACGGTCAGAGCGACTTGCAATGCAGCCAGCCAATGCAATATTGTACTAGTCATTCAGGCTACCACCATGTACCGCAGTCACGACAGGCTCCTGGCTCAGAAAACGTAGTGCAAGTGTCTGCATCAGCATACCACCAGCCATACACCATGTTCGATACACCGTACCATCACCAAGACGAGAACACCGCCTTCAGCAGCAATACCGGATATCCTTACGAGTATGACATGTTTGTCCCGTCGTTCTTCGACGGCCTACCGCACTTGTCCAGCATCAGCTGTGAGTCGGAAGGCTCCCATCATTAATCGCCTGCGATTTAGCGTGCATTCTTTCGTTTTGCTTACGTGCTCGAATCTATTTCGGTTCATCTTCATGTTTTTCTTTCTTCGGAACGACTCACGACTGCGACGATCTCCTTACTCATCTTCTATCATGTAGCATTTGTCAAGCTCCGTTCCAGCACAGCGACTGGGCACCTCCCATGCTGGATGCCTCGGCACACTCGCTGGAATATGCTTTGGTGCACTTTCTTGATTTTGCATTCTACATGGTCCATGTCTTGCAATATACCCCATACGACGTCACGCCGCCCACGACTGCATTGCAACGACGCTGGTACAAAAGTTCATGGCTGCTTAGTGGAGGAAGTAATTGGATAGGGAACGGATTGCCTGTGTTTGGGACTGTTCTTGCTGAACGGCGTTGTATAAAATCTGGGGGGTAGCTGGTCTTTAGAAGAAGTGGATGAAGGTGGGTGGCCGTCAATATTGTGGAGGCGAGGCGGTCAAACCCACGTAGAGGTAAATAAGGGGAGAAAAGACATGTAAGTATCGCACGTCGATAGTTACGCATTTCGGATATGTTAGATATCAATCAAGATATCGAATCTACTAGCTTCTAAACGCTAAGCGTGATGTTGTGAGTGAATTGAGCTGTTGATGTTGCAAGCAAGGGTGAAAGTGGAAGCGGCGACTCGGGCACCAGCCACACGTCGTGTGCCAAGGCGCTAGGACCGCGTCACAGGCCCGGGCTCTGAGCTCATCCGTGGCTCTCTTGTTCGCGACACGGATGGGCCTTTGATGCTTTCTCGCAGCGCCCGCCAGTCGCACTCAACCCGACTCGGCCACCAGCGCAACCGAACCGACTACCGATCTCTCGCCGCACCCGGAACCTCACTGTCGCATTCGCCATTGACCCTGGCTGATCGCGCGCTAACACGCTCGTGATAGAGTCGCGACTATGGCGACACCGCGAGGTGGGAGAGGCGCCAGCGGAGGCGATCGTGGGCGCGGTCCCAAAGGCGGCAACAACTCCAACGCGAATCGCGCACGCGGCAGGAACAATGCGCAGAACGAAGAGCGACCGGCGCAAGGTCTATACAAAGGCGGGCAGGGACGCCAGAAGAACGACTCCGGCAATTCGTAAGTCGACATACTCCCTCTGACGTTGGCACAGGGCGCGGGCGGACCGAGGGCGCCATCACCAGGATGCATACTACACCACCGCCGTCGTTGCGATCTATACTAGACGAGGGCCTCCATGGCCGCTCGCGGCCTATTCTAACTCGATACCTATAGGAACGCTTCCACTTCGAATCCGTTCGGCGGGAATTCTGCGCCATCCTTTGCACCCCACGAATACCAGAAGCGACTGCAACACGTAAGGATTACATATACCTTGTCAGGAGTTCAATACTGACAGGCACAGATCAAAGCGGAGCGCCCCAAGATCCGCGAGAAGTTCGTCCGCGATGGTCTCATGAACCCCGAAGGCCAGATGCGCCTGATCGACTCCGTCAAGCTGTACGGTCTTTGCCAGGAAATGTGCCCGGAATACGAGCGCGTGCGTCGCATAGTCGAACTCGACGTCAAGGCCCCCGAATGCACTCCCGAGACCCAACACCTACCCTCCCGTAGCCAGCGCATCGCAGATGAGTCGCGCATGGTCAAGGCATACGCGCGGTCAGCGGCAGGCATGGACGTGGAGCTGGTCTCAGAGATTCGGTCGCCAGCCACCTGCTTGGTAAGTTAGCGGAACTCTCTACATGATCGTGATTTAATATCCGCAGAAAACCCTCAAGTACCTGTACGGCCGCCTAGACGAAGACGATTTCCAGTTCCTCCACTCATGGCTTTGGGACCGCACACGAGCCGTTCGAAAGGACCTCCGCACACAACGTATCGAGAACAGGGCCGACATCGCGGTACTACTCACCTCGCTCGAGTACAGCGCCCGCTTCTACATGCTGTCGGCTCACCATATGGCGCGGAGTACCAAGGACGACTACTCGCATCAACAAGACGTCGAGCAGCTGAATCAGACCCTCATCTCACTCAAGGAGCGATACGCCGACAACCGACGCGCCAACATCATATCAGAATGCGAGGCTGAGTTCTGGGCATACCGCCTCATCCTGGCTCCCATCTACGCCAACACCCAGCTCGAGAACGAACTCCACCGTCTACCTAGCGATTTACGGAACAACCCACGGGTCCAGACCGCTCTCGAGATCTTCCGCCTCCTCAAGTCCATCCTCATTCACAGGAATTACGACAACTGGGTACAATGCCAGTCGAATTGGAAGCGCTTTTGGGAGTTGATCAAGTCGCCACGGGTATCATATCTTATGGCATGTGCGGCCGCCATATCCTTCAACAGGGTCCGTCACGTTGCACTTGATGTAGTCTGGCGTTGCTACCGAGTCGGTCTCTACAGGCATCAGGTTTCCGTCGAATTCTGGACAACCGACAGGCTAAGAGAAGTACTCGGCATGGACACTGAAGACGAGGCCGTTGAGTTTTGCGAGGCGCACGGTTTTGTCTTCGAATTCAACGAGGCAGGACAGCGCTTCATGGACATCAAACAGAAGCACTACGACAGGAAAGCGAATGTCCTCGCCAAGGCCGACATCAAGCCTCAGTTCTTCTCCGCAACTATCGTCGAGGCCAAGCGATGTGGTCGTCCCTTGTCGACTGTCATCGCAGGCATGACTGTGCAGGAAGCCAAGAAGGGCGGGCTGTCTGCTATGCAAGCTCAACAGATGGAAGACCAGACGTCGTTGTTCATCCCAGAGACCACCAGTGTATTCAAACAGCAACCTTCCGACGCAGCACCATCTGCTGGTGGCTTTGGCTTCAACGCGACCGCATCTCCCTTTCAGCCGAATGGCAATTCTACCACAACTCCAAATCCATTCGCGAAAGCCGTCCAGCCTGGCCTTTTCGATCCTTCCAAGAACAGCATCCAGTTTGGACAGCCGGCGGACGCGAATGCCAATCCATTTTTGCGCAAGGACAACAACTCATTCCAGTCGACACCGACTGCACCATCATCAAACCCTTTCTTGAAGAACAACACTGCGCAACCGGAATCTACGACGCCACAGACTGCCGCAAATCCTTTCTTGAAGTTCAACAATGCTGCGAAGTCCGAGACAACCACCACACCGACTCCTGCGAATCCGTTCCTGAAGAACAACACCGCGCAGCCTCAGTCGTCAACATCTCAAGCTCCAGCGAACCCCTTCGGTGGATTATCGTTCTCAGCATCTGAGGCCGAAATTCAAGCTCGGGCGAAACGTGAAGCTGAATTCCAAGAAGGATTCCATTGGGGCGAAAAGCCTGCGGATACGACTACACCTACTACGACTGCACCGACTACCGCGAATCCTTTCTTCAAGAACAACACCGTGCAGCCTGAGTCTTCAACACCCAAGGCAGCTCCTGCTTTCAACTTTACTCGGTCTTCGTTCAATGCTACACCCTCGCAAGAAACCCCACAACAGTCCTTCACCCCATCAGGAACACCGCCTCCGACAGATACTTCTCCACAAGAAGATGAAGCACAGAAAGCAGAGCAGGTGAAGAAGGAAGCAGCTGAGAAGCAACGGAAACTGGACGAAGCACGCCAACGTGTACAGGAAGCCCAACGAGCAAAGCAAGCGAAAGAAGCAGAGCAGAAGCGTGAGGCGGAGGCTGCGGCTGCGCGACAACGCCAAGAGCAGGCTGATCGAGAGCGAAAGGCACGGGAGCAGCAAGAAGAGTTGGCTCGACAGGCAAGACTACGTCAATTACAAGAGGAGGAAGCACGGCAAACACGGATACGAGAGAAGGACTCGGCATTGCATGCGCTCACGGCGGATGTTATGTTCCATCCCCAGGAGGGATTGCTGATGCAGTTCGTCGAAAACGCTGCTATGAATTTAGCGAAGGAAGCTGCAATCACTGTGGAGATGGAGAGGAGAGTGGCGATGGTAGATCAGAAGCACAAGAGATATCTAGATGAGTTGAAGCGGGCAGGCTTGGCCAAGATGATGTTGGCGGTGCAAAAGAAGAAGAAATTACAGAAGGCACGAGAGAGGAGGAAGCGACTGAAAGAGCAGCGGGCAAAGGCGGAGGCCGGACAAGACGAAGTACCGGCAGACGCGCCTGCACCGGTACAGCCGGCATCATCGAACGGTAAGACGACAGCAGCAGTACCACCAGAGGGGCGATCGGTGTCTCAGCAACCTTCGAATTCTCGGCGCGCCAAGCGAACGCAACAGCGACACCAGGCTCAGAGCTCTGAGACGAATGGTGTGAACTCAGCCAAATCAGTGCCGGTCAACAACCCATCTCCTGAGTCTACCTTTGACAAGAGCACAAGCAACGCCAGCACATCAATCACCGCATACTCCCAGGCATATCAGCAGGCCGTTGCGAATGCACCAGTAGACCGGACCGAGACGGATTGGTTCAGGTTGCGCGCTATGGGCATCGATCCGAGCAAGCACCGGAAGCGCAGCTTCGACTTTGGTTCATCAGACGAAGAGAAGCCCAAGCTCATCGAGCCCAAGCGACCCAAGTTGTCACCAGCGTCGCCTGCACCGGAGCAACATGAGCAGTCAGCACCGAGAACTATGCTCGAAGAACAGCGCGCTCGTGCTGAAGCCATCAAGGAGTCCTTTAGGCAATCAACATCCACAACATCCCCGTCTCACTCCTTCAACGGCGCAATGTCGTTTAGCGGACGGTCTTCATTCAACGATTCTACGAACGATCTGATTGCAAGGGCGCGACGGACGCTGGCAGATTCAAGAGCTGAGATGCCGCCTCCTTCTTTCACCCCAGGCAAGTCGTTGTATCGATCAGGATCCTTTGATGCAAATGCCAGCCAGCTCATCGCACGAGCCAGGGGTCTTGCATCTCCCGCGGCCACTTCTTCAAATGTCCAGCACGACTGGAGTCGCAGCGTACCCAACCTCGGACTCTCGGCATCCCAGAGCCGACAGTCTACATACGGTACATCCACGTACGGCAGCACCCTCCGCACCAGCACCTCCACCAAGAACCGTCCAGCATACTGGGAACGAACAAGCCGCTTCGTACCACGCCATCTTTACGGCCAAGGCGCAGAAGCTGTGCGCGCCTACAGGATCGAAAATGGTCTCAGCAAATCACCTGCTAGCACCCGACCCGCCAGCACAGAGCCACTGGATATTTCCTCGCCGATACCCACGCAGCTTTCTTTCGTCCAGCAGGCTTCATCCCAGCCGATGAGCTACAAGCAAGACCAGTTCACTAGCGATTTTGCATCAACCAACGGCGCACACGTCATCGATGTCGATGCTCAAGATGAGCACGCCATTATGACTGACAACGAAGAGGACGTCCAGTCTTACAACCACTTCGGCACTACATCATCTTATCCAGAAGCTCAGTTTACTCCTTCCCAGGCGGCACCCTACCACCAACATCAGGAGCAGGAGCAGGGGCAACAGGAAGAGTACTACGACCGAGACGCAGAAGACCAAGACGCAGACTCTGAGATGCACGACGGTGATGACGAAGAGTTGCTTGATTACGACCAGGACTCTGATCTCGATGAGGAAGACGAGATCGAAGAAGATGAGGACGCAGAGTCTTTTGACGAAGAAGACGAGGACGAAGATGAAGATGAAGAAGACGGTAGCGAGAATGGCAGTGACGAAGGCGGCGGCGGTGCAGCAGACCCCGGCGCGAATGGCAAACCGGGTGCGACGGAAGACGATGCTATTGAATTGTCGGATTAGTCGTCTGATACTTCCGTATCCGCACCTTGGCCTTGCCTTCACTATTAAACCGACGCGTCACACGAGTACTGCGATCACGGAGGTCGCAGTTGGGGATTGAGTTTGGAGGAGGAAGAAGGTGTATCATATAAAGATTTTGTATGCATAGCGAGGGCGTTTCTTGGGTTCTTTTCTTCAAACAAGCATGGCATGGTTGTGGATTAGCATGGACATGGACTGGGTATGGAGTCATGATACCCAATGGGCGTATGGTTGGTGGAAATATCGCAGAAAAGCACCGCATGGTCAGAGTGAGAGACATGAAAGATGTGTTATGATGTGCTTAATTATCTTGTGTATTGTGTGGGGATAAGTGATGTCTATGATGTTGTGATGTCGGTAGTGATGCTTGCGAGCAGCCATGTGATGCGATACGTCGTAGTCAAACGCTCATCGCGGTATCACTGGATAACCAGAAGCGGGTTTTGGCTGAGCAGTCCTCTGCACCTGGGACTGGGGTGCTGTGTCAGTCGTATGTAGTGTATGATGGTGTGATGATGTGATGGGTAGTCGTGATGCTAGTTTTGATGGATGTGTTGTATTTGGCATTTGCATGGCTGTAGTACATTTGCGTTATTCTTGTTTGATGTTTTTTATTGTGATGGCGACAAGACTGGTTCGAAAGTTTATGTTGCTTCTAAGTTGTGGAAGTCGCGAAAATCGCGGAAGTCGTACGAGATGAGTAGGTTGTTAAAAGTGAGTAAGTTTGCGAAAAGAACATCAAATCGTGGAAAGCATGTGTGCGGCTCGTCGTCTTGCTGTTCACTGCATTACCATGTAGCGGTAGCGATGATAGGCTTCTGAGGGGCAGTGATAATTTACTGAGTGATCAAACTGCGAAGCACGTGGAGAGAAGGCAGCCGTGGAGTGCCGAAGAGCCTATGCGTTCGACACGAGATACTACTTCAGCTCGCAGGTTCAACACGAGAGAAGTGCTTATATAGATCACGTTGCTCCTATTCTGCGCTACAGTGTATTCACCTGTATGTCTCTTTCCAACCATTGCCGGTGAATTGGAATCGTATTTGTTTTGACTGCAAGATCGCGTTGCCTGGTCATCTAGACTGAGATATTACTCAATCCAAGCAAGATCTGGCAGACTCATTAGCATTGTATCAAAGTTGTGAGGCTCGTTGCTAACCTTTTGGATATAGCGCACCCCGATAGTTATGCCGTCTTCATCTTGGAACTGGGTCTTGTCGCCAAATTCGGGATTGTCTTCGTCCAAACATGTCAGACAGGTCACGACAATATCCGTATACTTGTCGCCCATGCAGCTTGGTAATTCGCGCTGCGCAATTTCGACGAGCGTTTCCTTGAGTGATGCAGCTTTGGTCACTTCCTTCTTCTCGGTATAGCCCGGCGGCGGCAAGAGTTGCGATGGGTTCGCTTCATTCGTGCTGTTGTACGTGACGAGCGTGCGCCACATGCCTATCTCCAGCAAGCACACACCGAGGCTATAGATATCATGCTGCATCGTGTATTCGCTCTCTGGTCTCAAGCCTTGTCGCTCCGGGTGGCGGTACAAGTCTTTCTCCCAGGCGGCGTCGCCGGCCATCACAGTTCTTCCGTCCGCAGCGCGGAATTTCTCGAAACCAACCAAGAATGAGTGCGCGTACTCAGACTTCTCAGCATCGAAGACTAGGATTGTTTCGGGTCTGATGCCTTTGTGCACGAATTTGTAAGTGTGGACAAAGGTAACAGATCGTGCGAGCTGAAGTGCGAGGCGAAAGCGCGTGCTGAGACTGACGTTGGGTTTTGCTTCGATCAATATGTTGCGGAGACTCTGTGGTGATCGCACCGAGGACGGGATATAGAACACGAAATCGTAAGCCGTAGTCGTTCTTCTATCACTGCATACCTTGGCGACACCAAAACATCTGAGCAGGCCAAATGAAAGCGCGTCTGCTCCATTGAGTTTGCGAGCGAGATCGCGTACGTCTGCGACTTGAATGTCGGGCTTGATGCCTTGTTGACTTGGGACGGAGTCTAAAACGAAGGTTTGGCTTTTGTCTGGCGTTTGACCTAAGGATGATGTTGAGTATGAGATTGGCGTGCGCACAAAGCCCGAAGTCGCGTTGTCTGGTAGAAACACCTTCTTCTTCTCTCCGGTGCCTGATTCCGGTTTGAGTGATTCGCGAACTCCTATCGCAGAATAAATGACATTGCGATCAACTGGTGGCAGCTCAGAATCGCTCTTGAAGAAATCCTGCAAATTGTTGTCTATCAGCCGGTTAGACATCATCAGGGCTAGATACCAGGATGGATCAAAAGCCTGCTGCCACTTTTGCAGTTCGGTTATGGCGGCGTCGAGGCTCTTTTTGACGAAAGGATACTTCCAATCATGATATTTCGTCTCCTTCGTCGTAGCATCGGCCTTTTTAGTGGTGGTGGCGGTGTCTCGCTTCTTCTCAAGCTTTTGCGCTTCGCCCTCCGCAGCCTCCAACTTGATCAGCAGCACTCTGAGCGTCTGATCTTGCATGATCTTGAACTGTTCACTCTGTATAGTCTTGATGCTTTCGAGATATCGGAGTTGGGTTTGTATTCGGAACCAGCTGTTGCTCATCAATAGCACCCGCACCTTGATCTCGTCCGAAGCATTTCGGTAGCTCTTGTATAGGTCGACAAGGCGTTCGCCATATCTGAGACAAGTTTTAGTAGGAAGGTAAATTGAACGTGAGGCACTCACTTTATTGCTAGGTCAACAGTCGCGACTACTGCCAGGGCCACTTCAACCGACATTGCGAAGTCTTGCAAGACTGTCGTGAGACGACTTGAGGGTCGCAATCAACAAAGAACAGTGACAGAAAGGAGCGAGTAACAGCAGATGCACTGCAGGGTACGGGGCAAAGGAAATGCCTAGATTGGAGGGGTATTGTCAAGGATCAGACGGAACGGGTAGCGATAATCGTCAGTGGCTGAGAGTGAGGGGCCGACAAAGCTGCAAATAGACAGAGAACAGGCTGTGTATGACGGCGCAAGCCTGGTTAATATACATACGAGAAGAGGTACAGGGTCGATCTATACCATCTATGCGCAATTGGGGGGCGAATAGGCAGTGCCTGCCGTGCCACCTGGGTACATCGGCGGGGTAGGCTGGGGTTGGATCATGACGCTGCTGCTGCTTCCGAAATACATCACACCCCTCTCACCTCTCGCACGCAGCATAACTCCAGCGCTGCTCGTATACCGGTTTTGTCGTGTGTTGTGTGTTGTGTTTAGTTCTTCCAAGGCCTTCGCTACTTCCCCTTTGACTGCCCCACTTTCCACGCATATCGGAGCTATGGAGCTAGTGCCGGAGTTAGTGGCCGATTCCAAACTGGACACAATCTTTAAGAAAGGATTCACCATCCATCATGTTCGGACGCCGGATACGACTCCTCTTCTCGGAAAGAATAAAAAGAAGCAGAAGTGGGAGCAGTCCAAAGAACTTGGTCGGGGATCGTTCGGGACTGTTTGGCTGCAGAAGCTGGTAGGAGGCGGCGACAAAGACACAGACAAACGAGCCGTCAAGCAAATTGAGAAGAGGTCTGCAGTCGATTACAGTCATGAGCTGGATGCGATAGCGAAATTCTCTCAGGAGAAGGTGAGTGATTCCCATTCGGTTTCAAGCCACCGCCCATCAGGTTATGGGGGGCTGACATGCCCTTGTATACAGTTCAACTATTCGTTCGTCAAGTCGCTTGGATGGTACGAAGATGACAAACACGTATACATCTCGATGGAATATCTTCCTCACGGCGATCTAAGCCGCCATTTTGACGAGTTCGGCCCACTACTAGAGCATGAAGCCCAATGTGTTGCTCATCAGATATTAGACGGACTGAAGAGTATGCACGACCACGGCTTCGTTCATCGTGATCTGAAGCCACAAAATGTGCTGATCAAAGAGCGCAGCCCTAACTGGTGGGTCAAGCTTGGCGATTTTGGGGTCAGCAAGCGTATGCAGGACGCGGCGTCACTCAGTACATATACTGGTACAGATGGCTTCATGGCACCCGAAGTCATCATGCGAAAAGGTCACGTTAATTGGAAGGCCCTCGCTGGACGCAAATCATACACGGATGCCGTAGATATATGGGCTTTGGGTGCACTAGTTTTCCAGGCTCTCACTGGCAGCGAGCCTTTCGCAAAAGATCTGGGGTCCTACGTCGAGGGGAAAACGCCTTTCCCTTATCATGTGCTGCAAGCGCAAAGTATCTCACGGAAAGGATGCGACTTACTGGAGAGACTTTTGCAAGTCATTCCTGAGAACCGTCCAACAGCATCCGAAGCTCTTCAAGATCCCTGGCTTAAAGCACAAGAGGCTACTCAAAGAGACTCGATTGAATCGCTGAGGTAAGAGATCAGGCGTTCTTCCGTTTTAGAGAACCAACATGCTGACATCGCATAGACCGGCTTCTACACTACACGAACAAGGCAAGAACGCGACTAACTTTCTCCGTAACATGGCGCAGCAGACAGCATCTACTGTCGCTTCTGCGGCATCCCTAGCGTGGAGCGATGCGGAAAGGTCTACTATAGTGTTCAAAGCCCTCGACTCTGTCAGAACTGCAGCCAAAGAACGATTTCCCACATCTTCACGACGCGGTGCCGATGCTGTAGATCTAGAGTCACACGGAAATGCTCTTGGTCTTACGACCCTAGTAGAACAACCATCACCACCTGCCAATGACTCATCTACCTTCGACCTATCGAGTGATAATACGGCACAGAAGCAGGCTTCACTGTCTCAAGAATCACTGGATGGCTCAACTTTGAACCAAGCCAATAGCTCAACGCTGTCAGAAAGAGTGGAAAGCGTGAAAGGTCCCAGAAGTTCGGAAGAAGAGCGCCGATCTGGCAGCGCGACACCACCATATGCGACGAGATCAGCAACACTACGCTCGGATCTAGGCAGTACAGAATCTCTGCAGGAGACGGAAGAGTATTTCGACAGGCCGATAACAGCCGATGACTTTATCCTTTCACCTGGTACAACCCTATCAGAGGCATCACCATCACAGTCAATATCGGACACCTCCCCAAGGGCACCTAGCGGCCATTGGACTAGGGCGATGCCATTCTCTGAGTTATCTCTAGACAGTGCCAGTGCCAGCCCCATGAGTCCGGCGTGGTCAAAAGATTCTTCCATCGTTCGTGAGAAAGGCTGCACGCTCAGGCCTCTCGAACTGCCAAGCGACCTTATGCATACGCTTGAGCCCGATGCATAGTAAGTAAACAATCTGATGAGAGTAGCTTTGCGTTGACATTAGTATAGTGTCGTTATTGTACCAGGCTTGGGTGATCCTCCCGCCGACATCTGGAGTAGAGACGGCTTCCACGATGAGCCACTTGTGCGCGACCTCACCAAGCACTACATGAACATCCAAGTCCTCGAACTCGATCACGGCTTACTAGTCAATGGAAAAGACTTCAATCGCTGGAACCAAGTAAGGGACAGTTCACACACGATGATGCAGCAGCTCCATGAATATCGCGAGCAGACTAATGTAAGTAGCCATAGTACCCAAGCCAGCTACTTATCTAATGAAAGACGTAGACGATGTCCTTACCCATGATCTTCCTGGGCCACGGTATTGGAGGCATCTTCGTAAAAGATGTGAGTCCATTGAGCCACAGATCGAGAAGGGTCAAAGCTGACGAAGGCCAGTTTTTCTGGAAGTCTAGTAGCCTTGAGCTCCGAAGCTTCCCAGCCCAGTGGCATAAGGATCTCGTCAACAATACAGTCGGAATCGTCTTTCTTGGAACACCTCATCCTACAAACGAGAACAAAGCAGATCATGAGAATATCCTGGGTATCATCACAAGACCGCCTACATCCAGAAGGTCAAAAACGATCGATAGGAAGCTCATGGATCTGGACATCCAAACCGGATATGTCCGTTCACTTTCTGAGGAGTTTGACAAGTACATCCGCGAATACCTTCCCAACCTGCCCGTGTTGTCAGTCTGGGATGGCCGAGAAACCAAGGCGATGCGAGTGGAAGAGACGAAGTTACTTGGTCGCAGATGGAAAGCGGAAAAATACGTGGTATGTCCTGAAGCGACTTTGCATACATCGGGAACGATCTACCTTCGCCATATATGATTCTAACGTGTTCTATAGATCGTTACCTACGAATTGGCCAAGATTGGCTTGCCAAACGAACAGATGATGGTGGCTGACTGCGATCACTATGAGTTGTGCACACATTACAATCCTGAGTTTCGACAAAAGATCATCGGCTTCTGTCATGAGAAGCTCCTGGAAGCACATGGCAAAATGCTGGGAAGGCCAGGAAGCGCAACCATCGCTTCAAGCACCGTCTTGGGCGAAGGCTCGAATGTGCCTTCGCCATGGTAGCACCCACGTTCATGGTACTGGGTGGCAATGTGTATTTTTAACAACACTCGTTACTTGCCGTTTATCCACTATCACTACACCTACATTACGTCTCTTGCAGCTACACGTATCCAACCTCGCACTGCACTGTGAAAGGGATGAGAAAAGGGGCGATTGCCTCCCACGTGCACTGATCAGGCTCACATTGATCTTATGTCAGACTTTGGGCGAACACGGCAGTTAGCATGCCAACGGAGGAGAGCGGTTCGAAAAAGAATGAGGCTCCAGAGGAACGGAACTCCCAAAGGGACTACGCTATCGCGGGCAAATGGATGCCACATTGCGAAGGCAGCTTCCTGGGAGACGTTGCAGTGCGCGTCCAGCGCCTGCAAGAGCGAACGCGCATTCCCTTGCGGGGTTCGTCAGCCATTGAAAGCAGCTGGAGCCGCTCAACCCAGCAAGAACGACGCGGCTCAAGCACTGCTCCATGCACCCGCATTCAGCATCACTATTGATTGCCACATCCCCTGTATTGACCGACTGACCACAACATCCCGATTGCGTGCTATGTGCGAGCTCCAACAGCGCCATTACCCCAAAAAGTAACACCGCAGAGATCGCGACCAGAGACAATCTTGCAAAACCCCAGTCACAGATCCCCCGAGATAAGCCAAAAAACCGTGGACGGCGCGAAGCCTCCCCATGTCAATCCAACGGCTTCTTCGGTCCTTCTCTCGGCGAGATCAGCAACCGTTTATCTGCTGATCATGAACGAAACGAGTACTACACAGTCAGCCCTAAACAACCAGTGCGGGTGCCACCCCTCACGACTGCAACCGGTTTTGTGACTCTTCTCAACAAGTTCCAACGTGCTGGCCCTGTTGGGCGTTGTTGGGCATGATATGTAAGGATGCTCGTTGTTTGCTCGACCACATTGGGGCATCCACAAGCTTGGAATGGGAGATGAGGATGTCCCGGCATTACTCCAAGAGGCAATGGGGTATCTGATGGTATGTCGCACTGGTGCCCAATCATTTCTGCAAGCGTTTCGTTTGGGAGGACGCACGCGCAGGGTATCGATATCCAGCTCTCTCATCTAGGTGCCCAGATCGCTCCTGCACATCTTGCAGCATCGGAGTTGTTTCAAAGAGCAGACCAACGGCGCCGCTAAATGTTGCGTAGTGATCATCATGGCATCATTAAAGACTTTAATTACCTGCAGGATTGCGAGCTGTGCAGCATGGTGGGTGGTAAGGTTGACACGTAACTTGCGGATGTCCTGTCCAGACAAACGGTCCGCACCGAAGTGTTCGATCATGCAATGCCTGCAGTGGTCAAACTTTCGGCTTCGATCAAACCTACCGGACCAGACCCCTTGCAGCGATCGAGAGGTCAGAATAGAGCTTCGTGGAGATAAGATTGCTAGCAGCTTCCTGATTGGTGTGTATATGCGAGAGGGTATTGCCGTGCAGCTCGCGGATGTTTCCCCATATCGACACATCGTGAGCGGTGCAGCTTGGTGTCGCATAATACGATGTAGCGTGCCTAGATTCTAGGGCTGTCATCGAGATTCGTGGTGGCGTTGTAGCTTAGTACCGCACCACAGTCGTCCGAATCGGATGTTCTTCGTCTTCCGCCAAGCCGAAAATGATCGGTAGCAGACTACCATCGTCATCGGCCAACTGCTCCGCTGGAAGTGTGTGGATGTCATTGCTGAATGAGTCAGTTTCGCTCTGTCCGACCCAGCTCCCCGCAATTTCCACCTTCATCCCACGTGGCAAAGATGTCTGAAACAACCAAGTTTCCTAGTTAGTCCAAACCAACATGAAGAAATACACGGATGAACGTGGTGAGACCGTGATGAGCATCCAGGGCGGAAAGACCCGCTAAGGCTGTCTCTTGATCCGCGCGCACAACGTCAACCGCATAAGGGCCTTGGAGTAGAGGTAGTCGGGAAGACCTCGCGGATCCGTGTCTAGACGCCCTGAAGGATTTTTGAATACGGAGTGGCCCGCCTGGTGAAACAGCGTTGCCCTTGCGTTTGCGGTGCGGGCGTGAGCGAACGTCTGTGACGAGCTCACTTTTTTGGAGGGGCTGTGGACTGGTGGCTGAACAAACTTCGTCAGAAGGGCATGTTCCTGGGCTACCTAGTCTAGGCCGACATCTTCAACGGCGGAGCAGTAGTGAAGCAACGGTCATAGTACAGTAGTGAAAAGCTGACAGCTCAAGTGCGTGATCTTGCCGCGCTTGTACGTACGAATGCGGACTTGATGTCTGTCTCGAAAATTCGCCGGGTTTGGCAGATGTCTCCGATCTTGTTGAGTGGATTCGTCTATCCTGCTACACGAAGGTCTGCGCCAGGAAGGTTTCTAACGCACGTCATTCCGCAATGTATTGCACTTGCAGCACACGAGTCTGGTTCGACGTTAGAGACAGTGGAGCATGCAATTCAATGCGGCTACCAACTGGCAGTGGGCTGAAACAGTGCTGGTGCAAAGTCGTACCATACTGCAGGAAATTTCGTCGATAATCGAGAGTCCATTGTGCGAATAGGATTAATTCAACATTCGGATTATAGCCCCGCCGGAGCTCATTCGTTCAAAAACCACGAGGCTGAACATCAGGGCGACAAAGTTAAGGATACAGCCGGTTAGTGAAACTGTTGAACACGAGAACGTAGCACATGGCTAGTCGCCTCCAGTAGGTCCAGAAGGTATGAGGTAACTAGACAGTGACGTTGCAGGCGCCGCTGAGAGAAAGTCCAGCCCTCAGGCATGGTCGAGTCATTGACAGGGTGAGGGTGCTTTCTCAGTTGAGGTTACAGTATGACCTTCCGGGCAACTTTGGCAAGCCCATATCTTGGCCCAACTTGACAGCACAATCGAAAACTGACGGTGTGTGGTGGCGTTGTTCTACGGCAATGTTAGACGATCTATTGATGTGCTAGCAGCTAGCTGGCCAATCGCAATACGCCATGGCGGATGAAAGCCGTGATGTTTAAGGGTACCGACGGCGTGCTTGAAGCCACACGATAAAGAAACAGCGCCGCCGTTTGTGACGCATGATGGGTGAAGTGATGTTCCTGGATGTTGTGCCGAGGTGCAAGCGACGAGACAGGTAACGTCGTATCAAGCCAACAGCGGGAGTTACGGGAATGTCAGATGCCACGAAACTGTGCAACAGACGATGTCCTTAGTTACAAGTCCGGCGAGTCGATAGTCGTGGGTGCTGTCCGCTCGAGCATCTGCCTACAGCGCCCCGGCAGGGTCATGGATGAAACATCGATTAATGCTCCGGATGCTACTGCAACGGGGCGAATAAATCCTGCGCTGGAGTTAATCTCAGGAGAATAAAACTGCAGGTTGGGTGTGCAACCAAGTTCACGTGGCGTCCGCACTTACATTTTGGACTACAGCTGCGCGGGCCGGACCCCTCCACGACGCTTGACAAATGAGGACTCGACATTGGCCGAGGTAGCCCCGAAACAAGCTTTCCCTCTGGTCCCTGGGGAGGAGTTCGCCGCACACGATGTTCGCACTCGTTGCGCTCCGCGGAAGATAGCCGCTTAGCGCATTGCTAGCAGGAAATATCCGTACGATCCGGATCTCCAGGATCGTCCAGGGACCTCATCTTCCGGTGTAGATCATCCCCGTCATGTGCACCCATTTGCGCACCTGTGCAGTGTGGAAGTAGGTCTAATGGAGCTTGCCGACCTGCGAAAATGCCCAACACGAGGAGTAAATGGATGCTGAGGGTGGATCTCGCCGCGGATAGCGCCAAGGTACACTATCAGTCAATAGAACATGTCGGGGGTGATCCTAGATAGACTGCACGCCGGGAGGGCTTGATCGTCATGGTGTCTCTCCAGGTCGAAGGCATGCCGGCTTTCTCAACGTTGACGAAACAGGATCTGGACTTTGAGCATGCTGACTCAAGTTGGCGTTCGCGACAAGGAGACGTTGAGTCGCTTCTTCCTTTCCAACCGCGACGCCGTTCGGTTCCGGAACGGGCGATGAAAACCGAGGCTGATATCGACACGTGATACAGGCTACATGGAAGGATTATCGTGACGCCGCTGTGCATTTGCGCGTCGGTGTGATGGTCGAGCAGATGCTGCAGAATGTTACATAGCACCATCGCAGTCATCGTGTCCACTCCAAAAGTAGGATCGATGCGGTATTTGCGACTGAGCCGTGATCGTACCGTACGCAACAAGACCCTGCTGTGTGTTTAGCGCGTCGCGGTTGATGTGCAAAGACATCACATCATCCAACTTGTGCTGATCGTAGCCGACTTTCGCCTACCCGCGCACCTGAAGTCACACTCGCTGCCACCTGCGCCTCGGGAACAATCCGGGGCAGGCGAGACGCTGGCGCAGACTCAATGAGCTATCCACAAGAGCCTGCCTCGAAAGCGACAAGGTACATGTCTTGTCCTGACTTGACGATTCGTGGGCGCAGCTGAACTTCTGGTCATAGCAGGAAGAATAGCGCGGTTAGCAGTGGGCGCGATAGGTCTCGTTGCGAGAAAATCAGACCATAACGACACGAATGAGCACGTGTATTGGAGAGTAAAAAAACTAATCCAGGTCAGCGCTATTGCGATTGAAACGCGAACAGGACAAGGAGGATTAGGTTAGTACAGTCTGCGATAACCTGATGACCTGATTCCAGGTTGAGAGTGGACTCACTGATCAACGACCGACTGCGAACGTGCGGCCTGAGTCGATGCTGGTTGTATATATGTCCGGGACCTATATTTGCTTTGTTTAAGAGCTTGCAAAGCAACGATGTTCCCAGTCTGAGCAATGCGCTGGAGGGGCGCGCCACAATTGGCGAACATGCGTCCCCCAGCTATCAATTGTCGGTGATAGACACTGGAGACCAGCGGACAGCTAGCACATGTCTAGTCGATTCCTCTCGGACGTGGCCAGAATGCAGTCGTCTTCTCAATGCGACCTCCTAGCATCTAGCGATAGCCGTTGAAACCTGGTTGCTGTCAGGCGCGGTGTCAGCAAGCCT